AAGTTACCCAGCTTAATCCTCTAAAGGTAAAGAAATTCTCAATTTAAAGAAAAATGAATCGTAGATGAAAATTTGATACTTACCCCTAATAATCCGGTGTAGATAAGCTTTACTTACCCTCAATAATCTCTCAATACTTCTCATCAAAGTTACTCAACTTAATCCTCTGTAGATCAACTATACACATTCTTGCCCTAATCTTTTGTACAATCTCATTGATAACTCAAACTAACTCCAGTCTCATTAATTCTTTCAAACAATGTCATACAATGTCAACTCCATAAGGTGTAGCTTAGAGTCCCAACTACCAGCAAAATCTAATACACATGCACGCAACATATCTTCCAAAATTTGGTCGAAACGCTCAGTTTAACAGTCTGTCTATCGGTGGAAGGCAGTACTAAAGTTGAGGCGAGTACCAACGCTTTCTGGAGTTTGCACCAAAATGCTGACATAAAGCGTGGGTCTCGATCCGACACTATTAACACTGAAACTCTTTGAAGTCTTACAATTTCTTTCGCATACAGTATAAGTTGCCTTACCAGGTAGGAGATGTGTTGATTTAGTCTGTCTGTCAACGATTACACAGATTACTGTATATCCCTTCAGTGTTCTAGGTAGCTCTACGATGAAGTCCATAGCGATTCTTTCTTACTTCCATTCCGGCACACTGAGGGATTACAACAATCTTACCATCCTCTGTCTAGGGGCTTTTACCTCTTGTCATACTAGACACTTGCTTACAAATTCTGTTATATCTTTTTTCATGCTTCGCTACCAGAAGTGTTGTTTCAAGACTTGGTACATCTTGGATGCATAAAGCATGGTGAGTTGTGAGCAATGGTTAACAAACTGCCATCTAATGATTTGGAGAAACTGTCAACTAAACCAGTTGTTAACTAACCCAAAATCTTGGCTAAGTTGTGGTTCTCTTGTTGAGATTCAATAACATGTTGTTCAAGTGTGGGTTGTGTTAGGTTGAATGTGCTGTGACCTATATGGGGATCTTATGTATATATAGATGTGTACAAGGAAGATTACATGGTGGGCTTTGATCCATGTTAACAAACTAGGAAATCACTCACTATGAATAGATATGACCTATTATAAGTTTAACACCCCTTAATCTAAATCTAGATGATGTACTACTAGGTTGAGACTGCCCTTAAAACTGCTAAAAGAAGGAGTTGGCAATGGCTTTGTCATGATATCAGCAGATCCTTGGAAGATATGAGCCGCACATCAAGCTGACAAGTTGATACTCGACGAAGTGATAATCAATCTCAACATGCTTCGTCCATCGATGAAAGATTGGATTGACGAAAAAGTAGGTGGTACAATGTTGTCACACCATAGGCTAGGTGCTCGCGCTTGCGAAATCCCAAGCTCACGCAAGAGGACTTGGATCTAGAGTAATTCGCACTGGCATAAGCACCTGCCTTGTATTCGACCTCTGTCCTAGAACGAGAAACTATCGATTGTTTCTTTGAACTCCAGGAGATAAGATTGCCACCAAAAAAGATCGCATAGCCTCCAGTGCCTCAACGGTCATCAGGATTCCTGACCCAATCAGCATTCGAGGAGTCGCAAGCCCATATCAATAGTGTCATGTAGATAACAGAGAATTCGTTCGACCACGGCCCAATGTACAGAAGTCAGGGAGGACATGAACTGGCACACTCTATTGACACATAAGGAGATATCAGGACGTATCAGAGACAAATATTGGAGAGCACCAACAACACTCCGATAGCGAGTAGTATCCTCAAGTGAGAGCTTTCCACTACCATCCAATAACAACTTCTCGCTAGGAAGCATGGGTGTGGAAACATCTTTGGAGGCGAGCATATTGGATCTGGATAATAAATCTGGAACTTATTTATGTTGTTTCAGAACAAGTCCATTTGAAGTATGGTATGTTAAATAAAAGCTATGTTCCTTTTAGGTTGTTTTGACGTTCTCAAAACTTCTGAATTCACGCCAATGCAAGAGCGTAATTCTAGCTGCCATTTTTGCCCAACTTTGGGCGAAGTCTTCGCCGACTTTTCTATTTTTGTAATTAGGTTTGTTATTTAAAGAATTCAATGAATAGAAATAAAACATGTCTTCAGCAAATCTCTCCCTCTCTCCTTTTACTTTCAGCTATTTTTTCCTTCGAAAGAATTTTTCCCTCGGCCAGTTTTTTTTCGTCGACGTTTTCCTCCGAATTGCCATAGTCAACATGGTGGGCCTCAATCCCAAGAAAATAACTCAAAGTGCCAAGACCCTTGATGGCAAAATCATCTTGAATATGTGCAAGAAGTTTCTCAATAGCCATAGAAGATGAGTTGATGATAATAATGTCATTAGCATAGATGAGGATATACGTTCGAATGTCCGTCTTGTTAAAAATGAAAAGAGAGACATCAACCTTTGAAGGTGTAAAATCCAGTTGTAATAGTTTGGAGCTAAGGCGAGTCAACCAAGCACACGAAGCTTATTTGAGGGCATAAAGTGACTTATCCAGCTTGTAAAGATAACCAGAATGTTGAGAATCCACAAATCCAGGGGGGTTTTGTATAAACATCTTCATTAAGAAAGCCATGAAAAAAAACATTCTAAATATCAATCTACCGAATAGCCCAACCACGAAAAATATCAAAAGATAATAAGAGCCGAATGGTAGTGGGCTTAACAGCGGGATTGAAGGTATCATCATAATCAACGCCATACTGCTGGTTAAACCCTTTAGCAACCAGTCATGCTTTGTAGCGATCAATAGAGTCATCTGTCTTTTGCTTGAGTTTGAAAAACATTCTTATTTTTTAGAAGTGCCTAAAATTCATCATTCATTGCCTGACGCCAGAGGAGATACTTCATAGCAGTAATATGTGAGGTAGGTTTAGAGGCAGAAAATCGAACCATATAATATGTTACTATTCCATCTGTATGCACCTTGGGTTGCTTGATATTGTGCTTCAATCGAGTACCATACAATTGAGTAGTTGGTGCATGATTGTCAACTGAGGGGACAGTCGTACCAGTCGTTGCGAGGGGAGCAACCAGTGCTACAACAATCGGTTGACCAGCAGCCGTTGCACATTCCAAGGCGAGTCAGGAGACCAATCCCCAAGATGAGAGCCTAGAGAATCTAGGTGGGGCCCAAGCAATGCCAGGAGACCAATCCCCAAGATCAGAGCCTAGAGAATCTAGGTGGGGCCCAAGCAATGCCGGAATATCATCTGCTGGCAGAGGATCTGAGGTCCCAATCATTGGTGGAACAACGATGCCGATTTGCGCGGCAACGATGCAGAGTTTTGTAGTGGCAATCTTGAAGCTGATGTGGATACCAGATTTTCTGTATCCAAAGAGTTAGTAGGCACAGATATATGCATATAATCATTTTCCAAATTAGTACTGCTGTTACCCAAAGGCAAGGTGCACAAATCAGGGGTATTTTGCGTCGGCTGCAAAGTTGGAGAAGAACTGGGTGGGGCTCTCTTGAACGGAAAAATATTCTCATCAAATATGACGTCTCTAGAAATATAAACACGGTCAGAATTGGTGTCAAGACACTTATACTCTTTATGTAAAGAAAGGTGCCTTTATGTAAAGAACTGTAGCCTAGAAACACACATTTTTTTGATCGAAAAGAGAGCTTTTCTTTGTTATGAGGGAAACAATGAGGCCAACAAGCACACCCAAAAAACTTTAATAAGGAGTAATTTGGTGAGGTATGAAAAAGAAGCTCTAAGGGGAATTGGTTATTAATGACACGAGTAGGAAGACAATTGATGAGATATGCGACTATAATAAACGCGTTATCCCAAAATTTAATAGGTACATCAACATGAGCTAAAAGGGCTAGGCCAATTTCAACAATAAGACGGTGCTTGCGTTCAACAGACCCATTTTGTTGATGTGTGTGAGGGCACGAAACACGATGACCAATTCCAAGGGAACGAAAGAATGTGTTATGGATTTTCTGATATTCCCCACCCCAATCAGACTAGACACACTTGGTTTTAGTATCCAGGGGGCGCTCAACATGAACTTGAACTGCAAAAGTATACGAGGAGCTTCTGTACAATCATGCATCAAATAGATCCATAAAAACTTACTGAAATCATCAATGAAGCTGATATAATATTTAAAGCCCCTAACGATGGAGGAGAAGGACCCCAAACATTCAAAAAAATCAATTCCAAAGGCGATGAAGACATATGAAAAGAACTAGTGTATGGTAACTGATGACTTTTTGCTAACCGACACGCATTACAAATTGGCAAAGGTGCCTCACTAGCACACAAAATATTATTTAGACGCAAAATTGACTTTACGACTTGAGATGAAGGATGTCCAAGACGTGAATGTCATTGGGCGTGAGTAGTAGATCTGCTCACTAAGGCGTGCTTGAGATCATCGACATCAGATGGTTTAATAGGATAGAGACCAAGGATGGTGTTCAAAGAATATGTCATTGTCACAAGAAAATTTATGAATAGAAAGAGATGTTTGGGAATTTTAGGCACATGAAAAATATTACGCAATGCAAAAGGACGAACAACAATATTAATTGAAGAATGACCAGTATGCAAAATTCGCAAACCTGCTCCATTGCCGACTTAAACTTGTTCACCTCCATGCTAGCATTCACGCATAGCGAGACGATCCAGGTCACTAGTGATATGATCAGTGGCGCCTGTGTTGCTGTACAATTTGGATCAATCTAGTAAGAGGAAGTAGCCGCCAGTGCCGCAGAAGGAGGTTCATCTTGATAGGAATCATTCATCCTATGCCAGCAGCGAACAACAGTATATCCCACTTTGCCGCGATCTGGCAGGAAGGACGAGCAGAAAGGTCACGATGATCACCAATAGGATGAGAGGGCGCGCCACCTCGAGAAGAGCCACGACCACGATCCCTACGCACACATTTCTTCTGCTGAGCACCACGAGTAGCATAATTGGCCTAAAATCTAGGATTTAACTGAAGTTTAGCCTAGTGTTGTAGTTGGCGAGCTTCAAAAGCCATTAGATGCGCAAACACATCATCAAACGTGAGGGCTTCACTCTTGGTAGTCATCAAGGTGACGAATGGATCACAGTCAGGGCCAAGACTAGCGAGGAGATACACGATCACGTTATCATCTTGCAAGGCCGAGTTGGTGGTGACTAGCTCCGTGGCAAACTCTTTGATCTTACGAAAATGATCTGTAGCAGACAGATCGTGTTTCTTGGACATGGCAAGCTTAACAAGGATCTGAACAGTGCGAGCACGAGTTGACAATGAAAACATCCGTTACAGGGTATCCCACACCTCCTTGGATGTAGTAGCGGCAACCACATTACGAAGAATCTCCTCAGACATGGAGGAGAGAAGGCCACTAAGGACCTGTTGATCCTGGTCATGGGCCAGATTAGAGATCAGGTCAACACCAGAAGTGGTTTAGGAAGGGACCACCTTGGCAGGTGCAGCAATGCTGCCATCGAGGTAGCCTATAAGCTTCGTATTCCGTACGTAGAGGAGGAGCTGGGCACGCCATATGATGAAATTATTTTGGTGAGATAGATTGTGACACCATGGTGGAGAGGGATTGGGCCAAAGGTCGATGTCAAGGTAGATGAGATCGGGTAGGAGATGGTGGATGGGGAGGAGGAACAAGATATGGTAGACATTGTTAATGAACAAACCTTGGCTCTAATACCATGTTAGGTTGAATGGCTCTGTGACCTATATGGGTCACAACCTCATGTATATATAGATGTGTACAATGAAATATATTCTAGCGTTGTTCTCAGCCAACTAATCCATTCCTAGTATTACATTGAAGTCTGACATGCTGACAACTATCAGGTTTACATCTAATGTTCGTCTCACAACTATTACTTATCCACCTTTTACTCTATTCTTAGTAACTAAGTCTACCCATGCTCGGTACTAACAGTCAATATATACAATAAGGGTTCTAGATCGAATCCTGTTTGGCTAACAAATGGTACATATATAAAAATATGAGTAGAGCTTGAATCAAATAAAGTTGAAGCATAGTGCCCCAAGACGGATAAAGTACCTGTCACCACTATGCCAACTTTCTTGGTGTTCCTACTGATGGATGCATATGCTCTTGCCTGAGAGCGGGTCTGTATGGGTCTCTCAGCACCACCTGGGCCTCTTGGCGGGTTACTTAAGTTTTTCGTAATAATGTGCCCCTCTCGGAAACACTGGAAACACGCTCTAAATCCAGCCATGCATCTAACCCAATGATGTTTTCCGCATTCGTTGCATTGTGGTCTTTCTCTTCCTCTCGCTCACTCTTGGTCCCTGTGATGTCTACCAGCCTAGCTCATGCATCTGCAGCCAGCGCGGGCTTCAACCGAGTCCAATGGTAGTGACCCGTGACGTGACCCGCGACCCGCCTGTAACCCGTGTCTCTTGTCCAACCTGCAACCCAAGGCCCAAACCTATCTTGGACTAGTAGCCTAGCCTGCAGCACACATGACCGGTGGCCCAGCCTACAACCGAGACCCACCTGCAACAGCCCAATAACCCAACGCGACCCGCGAGCTAACTTAAATTGAGCCTCAACCCGAGATGACTACACACGAATGGCCCACTCTTGGCCTGCCGCATGTCAAACTGCGGCCCAAACAGCCCTTTGGCTTGATCGGCTTAGACGTCTCAGCGCGACTCCCAACAACTTCTAGGCTTATTTGGCTCGAGTACTCCTACTTTAGCCCGTTTTGCACCGTTTCGACCCTCCCAATTCTTCTTTCGATTTTGATTAAGGTAATTGAGGCCATTTTAGTGTTGTATTTCCCATATGTTAGTTGGATTATGATTAATTTATGAAATACTAACAAATGGTAACGAACGGTATGATAGGAAACAAACTTTGGCAACATTCGGAACAACTCTCGATGAACGGGAGCTAATGTATAATAATTAGGAAGAATACCGGCTAAGGCCAACCAAGTAAGTGACTTTACTATAGGATAGGCAAGAAAAATTGTATGAACTATGATGTATGATGACTTACGATGACATATGTGAATTATATGACGTATGATGTGTGAGCTGTGATTTATGATACCATACGTGAATTATGTGATGATGTATGAGCAATGTAACAGACCAGATAAAAAAAAAATAAAAAATTTGCGGCCGTCAGCGAGATTAAAAACTCCAACGAATGCCAGAGTTTATGTTCTCACACGACCCACGAGCCTCGCGAAACTTCGAGGGTCACCACAACAACAGACCCTGACCCTCGGCCAAACTGCCTACAAGGAAGAAAATGAAAAAAATGTGAGAGTTTGAGGAAGAAACCGACGACGCTCTGGCGAAGCCAAACCATACGAAATCGACTTCAAAACCTCTGGTCTACACCACGAAAACAATCCCAAAGACTTTTACATACAGCAGGGATAGATTTCAACATTGCTTACACGTCGTACACCGTCGGGGAAGGAAAACAGAACGTCGAGTTTTTTGACCCTTTTAGATCCGAGAGTGTTAGGCCCTTACGAACCAAACAAACACCATAAATGGGATTACGGGGAGGAGGAGACTCGAAAAAGAGGAAAAAGGAGGAAACAGAACATCAGAACAACGTGACAGAGGAGAATGAGAGAGTCGTCGAAAAAAAACTCTGGCAATCGGGCAAGGAAGACGAAGTCCGACTCACGATCCAAAACCCTCTCAGCCCAACGATTCAACCCTCGGTCCACCAAAACAAACCATGGCCCAACAGTAGAGTTCAACCCAACCCATCGCAACTAAAACCCTACAACCCATCACAACCAGAACTCACGCGTTCGACCCGAGACAGCTGTACCCACGTTACCCTGTGGTTGTGCCATGTGGCACGTCTGCAGCGGGACATCCCTCGGCTCCGGCAACTTCTTGGCTCCTGCGGCGTATTCGACTCGGGAAACCCATTTTCGATGCATTTGGCACCATTTCGACCCTCTCCGACTTGATTTCAACCTCGTTTAAGGTAAAATAGATCATTTTAAGGTCGTATTTTAAAAATTCAAGTTTGAAATTAATAATGTTTGTGAAATACTAACGAAGGTGTCAAATGATCCAATAGAAACCAACCACCAACGAAAGCGTAGGACGTATACGTAGAGCTAGGAGCTTACGCTTTTATTTTAGGGAGTACTTCGGCTAAGACCTACCAAGTAAGTGGCTCACTTGTGATAGGTTACGTGTTGTATATTGTGTGTTGGCACGTGCTCATGGATTCGCACGTATCATTAAATTGTATGCTAGACTGTTATACTCGATTAGTACGCGTGTGAAATGTGAATGTATGCTGTTTAGTATGATATGATGTACTATGCTTATGACGTTTATGATGTGTCTGAATGATTCAGGCATGAATGGTACTATAATTTTGAATGTAAATAGCATGTAATGTATGACATGAAATCATGATAAATTGCATGAAATGTAACCCCGTTAGGATTATGTATGATACGTAGATTGAAAAATGAGAAATGACATGTTAAGCATGAAAGATGATAGCGGAGTTATATTCATTAATGATAAAAGTAGAAATATCGGAGAGCTCATGCATTGGGGGGATTCCCCTATTCCATCACGAGGGTATGGACGTGTCACACAATGGCAGGGTACGATCATTATGTAAACAGCATGTAATGTATGACATGAAATCATGATAAATTGCATGAAATGTAACCCCGTTAGGATTATGTATGATACGTAGACTAAAAAATAAGAAATGACATGTTCAGCATGAAAGATGATAGCGGAGTAATATTTATTAATGATAAAAGTAGAAATATTGGGGAGCTCATGCATTATGTGTGCTCATGCATTGGGGGGATTCCCCTATTCTATCACGAGGGTACGGACGCGTACACCCAATGGCAGGGGTACGATCATTATGTTTTGCATAGCGCTGCCTTGACGGTTACTAGTTCTAACGGATGTCCTGTTGAGGATTATTGGGAGTGAATCCCAAATTGGTTAACTTAGTGGAAGATCATGGGTTTATAAGTGAGGAATACTATCTCCATTGGTATGAGATCTTTTGAGGAAGCCCAAAGCAAAGCCATGAGAGCTTATGCTCAAAGTGGACAATATCATACCATTGTGGAGAGTCGTGCTTCCTAACATGTCCGGCCTAAGGAGCTCCCAGCGCTCGACAAGGAAAGTGGCCCATCAGTGTGTAAGCTGACTGGTGGACTCATACTCGCACGTATGGGCTGTGTGTAGAGTATATGGTACACGTCCAAATTACCCATAAGGATAGCACCGTAGGAAGATAGATGTCCCATCATCTCATTTGCATGTGATTGTTGTATAACCTATTTCAGAGTTGTTTTTTCTTTCTTTCCCTTGTATTCATTATTTCATGAGGTAATAAAAATATAGATAGGTCCCATCATCTCACCTATTTCAGAGTTGTTTTTTCTTTCTTTCCCTTGTATTCATTATTTCATGAGGTCCATCATCTCATTTGCATGTGATTCCTTGTATTCATTATTTCATGAGGTCCATCATCTCATTTGCATGTGATTGTTGCATAACCTATTTCAGAGTTGTTTTTCCTTTCTTTCCCTTGTATTAGTTATTTCATGAGATCCCATCATCTCATTTGCATGTAATTGTTGCATAACCTATTTCAGAGTTGTTTTTCTTTTCTTTCCCTTGTATTCGTTATTTCATGAGGTAATAAAAGTATAGCTTAGTATAAGTTAATTGTAATCGCATTCATAAATCATAGGTTAGTATAGAACATTTATTTCAGAGTTATTTTTCCTTTATTTCCCTTGTATTCATTATTTCATGAGGTAATAAAAGACAAACTTAGGTTAGTATAGGTTGAATTGTAATCGCATTAATAAATCATACGTTAGTATAGAACATTTATTTCAGAGTTATTTTTCCTTTCTTTCCCTTGTATTTGTTATTTCATGAGGTAATAAATGACAAACTTATGTCGCAATTATGATAAGAGCCCATTTAAAGTAAATTTTGCGCTTAAAGTATAGTAATGACCTTAAATTAAATAAGTAAAAATTTAGGGTCGTTACATATGATGTATGATGATGTATGATGACGTACGATGACGTACGTGAGTTACATGACGATATATGATGTACTTAATGTTCTTGATGCATTTGTAG